TAACAATTCTAAGAACATATTTCTCAGCAACTGATTAGGAGACTTCTTTCTTCCCACTTTTCTCAGATTGCTGATAAAAACTATCTGGCATGACATAATCTTGTGACACACACTTGGCAGCATAATAGAGCCAACACATCTGATAGTTCAAAATACTACAGTTGAAATGCTCAGACTGAAAACCATTCATTTTTTATAAACTCTTTCCTAACCTTTGTGTCAAAAGTAATTTCAGTTCAAATGTTTCGGTTGACCATAAAAAAATTTATTATCAGATATACCTTCAATGTATTATATAATTGCCTTGGACTCATATAAATGGAATTATAATTATCATCAAATATTACTTATTTGTATAATCATTATTATTCTAAAAAGAAAAATGACACGTGACATTTGATAAGTTTTTAAAGAACAACACTCTCATAATTGTACAAAGCAAACAGAATTCTTTCTTACTGTTCACCAGAATTGTTGAAAATTGTACGTAGAGTGTTCATTTTACATTATAGTGTCACCAGTGTTAACTAGAATTGTGTTAAAGCATAGTTTGAGACAAAAAAAGTTTGACCTACCTTGTAGCAGTCGTTGGCAATGAGCTGTAGCAGACTGAAGGACTCGCCGGACGTCTCCATCTTGAGGTACAACTCCCACGCTAGCCGCGCCTTTCTGTTCATGATGTCTGAGAGAGGGGGGGAAGAAAAAGCCACAGAATAAAATCCGTTGTCGGAGTAGCGCCATCAAAAGACAGGAATCGTTGGGAAAAAAATACAGTGACAGTGCAGCCTCTCTAGAACGACCTTCGGAACAACGACATCCTCTTTATAGCAACATGGTGTCTTTTTTCCTTATATATATATAAGTAGTAATTTTGGTTTGCCTCTCTGTAACGACAACTCCCTATACGAGATTTTTTTCTGGTCATAGAGGGGCTGCACTGTGTGTTGTAAGACATGGGAAAGGAAAAGGAAGAAGATTCAACTGTCAGAGGTAGGGCCTACTCCGATCCATCAAACGACAAGAATCATCAGGAAAAACAATGTTTTACAAGATATGTGGAAAGACGAGGAAGAAAGAGAAAAAGTAAACAGCAATTCATAGACAGCAACTGAATTGTCATTTAGGGTGTTCAAAACCTACAATTTAAACATGGTTTTTTTTTGTACAGAAAGTAAGTGCCAGAAAAGATAGACATAATAGAACAGAACAGATTTGGGTGAAAGAGGCACTGAAAAAAAACCCTTAAAAAATTACACAACACCAGAGCAATCTAGTTTTTATATGAAAAAATAATAAATGCTCAAGTGAAGATTCTGATTTGAGAAACTCCCCCCCCCCCCCCTCCCCCATTTTCTCAAAACTTTAACCAATGACTTTGACTGTTGTGGAATGAGACTGAGGAAATGATGGAGGTCTCAGTCACAGTAGACAGATAGGCATACATGCCACTAAAGTATCAAAACAATTTCTCTCACACGAGGAAATGTGAGTAACAAGATCCACACGGCCGCAGATGGAGCACCAAAGAAATACAAAACAAAACAACCCAAACCATATTAAGTGAAACATCTCACTTACATGTCCTAGCCAGCCAGCTGAGGTATGTGTAGTCATTTTTCGTTTTCTCATTCTGAATCAGGAGGAAAATCTAGACGCAAAGAGGAAAAAAGCAACACAATGACCCAAAAAAATAGAAAACCTCAAAGATTTTGTACTGCACGTGCTTGGAACACTGTCATGATCCATCTACTTTAAATACTTCCATTCTAATCAATTCACAAATTTTAAAAATGTCACATGACATGTACGTTCAATGTTTTATTAAGTTGTGAAATCAAGTTGGAAACACATCTAATATTACAACAGAGAGTATTTATTCAGTAAAACACATCCAATATTACAAGAGAGAGTACTTATTCAGTAAAACACATCTAATATTACAACAGAGAGTACTTACTCAGTAGCTGCTTCCATCAACGAACATACATTTGAAAAATCTGTTGCCTCAAACGTTCTCCCACCATACATTAAAAAATATCTGTTGTATCAAATAGGGTTAACCCTGCAAATGTTATCCTTCATTCTCTTCTCTCCTACCTCCTCCGCCTCCTTGAAGTTGCCCACAGCGGCCTTGGCTTGGGCGTAGTTGAAGTTGAAATTGTCGTCATTGTAGAAATAGCTCTGAAATGTGGGAGACAACAAAATTAGGTCGGGGGGGGGGGGGGGGGGAGATAAACACAAATCAGATGAACTTAATCTATAATCAGAAAGTTACCTCTTCTAGCAAGTGGTACGACAAAATATACAGATGCAGGCACCCTTGGTAAACCTGTTCGTGCAGTTATTAAGAGTTATAGGAATTGGTTATCATGAAATGCCAGATCTACAACACACATCGATAGTCGCTGCTAGCCACTCCTTTCTCTGATCACCTTGGGTGCTCTCAAAAAAAAAAACTACTAAAAAATCCACTAGCAATGAATCAGTAACTTATGGCAATAACAGCTTACCTTGATTGAGTTCAGATAAATCAACACATCCTCAAACTGTTTGAGAAGGAAGAAACAAGACGCCATACACTGCCTTCCTGGGATGGTGTCTGGAAACAAGGATGGAAATATACGATAAATTACTGGTACAATAAATATAATAATATGAATAAGCAAAAAATGTTTCAGACAATCCATCGCTACATTGTATATATATACTAAGGATGGAAATATACAACAAATGACTTGTACAAAAATATATGAATTTTAGTTTTAGTAGAGGTTTTACGGCGCTCGCAACTGCATAAAGTCATATGAGCGCCAGAATATTAGAGGTGTTACAAGAGAGTAACAAACATAAAAAAGAAGAAGGGGAGATAAGAACGATAGATATTTCATAGGAAAGAAGAAGCAAGCCATATCAGAGCACCCGCTAACCATCCACTAATATATGAATAAACAGAAACGTTTAGTTTAGACAAACCGTCACTACCAAGGACAGAAATATACAACAAATTACTGATACAAAAATACAGATCTATAAACAGCAAAAGTTTCAGAAAAACTTAGCTACGTACACTTCGTTATAATACTTGTAGGACACCAAGGACAAACAGAGAGCAGCAGTAAGGAATATACAAAATGTCCCCATAACTACACAGTGAGTTAGTGCAATCATACAAAATGTCCCCATAACTACACAGTGAGTCAATGCAATCATACAAAATGTCACCATAACTACACAGTGAGTCAATGCAATCATACAAAATGTCACCATAACTACACAGTGAGTCCATGCAATCAGACAAACTCATTTGCTTCCCCTTGTTGAAGCATGCTTTCTCCCTTGTACGTGGAAGAACAGGGGAATAATTTGTCTTTTGTCTTATGACTCTCAGTTAGTTATGATTCTCAGTAAAAGTCTGGTCGAGGCCTCCTTAAAATGAGTAGAAGGTGGTGGAGAAGGAGAGGGAGGAGACACAAATGGAGACAGAGATGGAGATAAAAAAGGAGAAGGAGATAGAAAAGGAGAGGGAGAAAGAGATAGAAAAGGAGAAGGAGAAAGAGATAGAAAAGGAGAAGGAGAAAGAGATAGAAAAGGAGATGGAGAAAGAGATAGAAAAGGAGAAGGAGAAGGAGAAAGAGATAGAAAAGGAGGAGACAGAGATGGAGACAGAGATGGAAAAGTAGAAGGGGACAGAGATGAAAAAGGAGAAGACGGAGAAGGAGAAGGAGAAAAAGAAGAAGATACATACCACATTCACTGGCAGATCCCCCCACCAGCTGGAAGTACTGCTGGGCTATCTTCATGTGCTCTCTCTGGGGAGGAAAGAAAATCAGATTTAAAAAAAAATATTGGTTGTAGTGTGAGTGGTTGGAAATACAGTACAGTCGAAACTGTCGAAGACGGCCACCAAATGACAAGGAGAATAAGTGATTGATTTGGCGCCAGTGGCCTAGTGGTTAGGCTCTCGGACTCGCAACCGTAAAAGTCGCGGGTTCGAATCCAGTCAGGGGCCCGACGTTGTGTCCCTGGGAAATGCACTTTACACGAATTTTCCTCACTTCACCCAGGTGGGAATGGGTACCCCGCTATAGACAGCGAAAGATCTTGTCAGTTTGTTAGTGTTTGAGCGCTTAATCAGCTGCTTGCACTGTATGCTTCCCGGGAAGCTGAAAATGTTTCGGAGTGTTCTATGGCCTGCTGGGGTAATAATATAGTGCAAAGCGCATAGAGCCTGCTGCTGAGCGGGGATATGCGCTATACAAATGCTATTTAATATCATTATTATTATTAGACAGGTAGACATCTTTGACAGTGTCATTATAATATTTCTAAAACGTATGGGAGGGGGCGCAGGAAGTAGCCTATGGTACAGGAAATTGTCTTGGAGAAAGGTGACTGTCGGAGCAGATTCCACTGTATTGGTTTTTATCCAAACGCTTGAAAGGATTTGATTGGCTAAAATCTAGCTTCGTGAGTAAACCCTATTGAAATTTGTTCAGTTTAGTTTCAGTAGAGGTTTTACGGCGCTCGCAACTTCATAAGGTCATATGAGCACCAGAAGATCAGAACTGTTACAAGAGAGTAACAAACATAAAAAAAGAAGAAGGGGAGATAAGGACGATAGATGTTTGATAGGAAAGAAGAAGCAAACTACACCAGAGCACCCGCCGACCACCCACTTGAAATTTGTGAGCACGAAAAAAAGCAAATAAAACTTGGTATCATCAGCATCATTACATAAGAGTCTTAAATCATATTTTGAAGTTTTGAGAACATTTTTTTTCTTCCAATAGGATGGCAAAATCAGAACCATGACCAGGGCACTCCACACTTTACTATTAAAAACTGGGAAGGGAATAACGAAACAGAGCAAAGCTACATTGTAAGAAGTCTCTCTCTCTCTCTCTCTCTCACTCTTTCTCACTCTCTCTCTCTCTCTCTCTCTCTCTCTCTCTCTCTCTCTCTCTCTCTCTCTCTCTCTGTCTCACACACACACACACACACACTCACATACACACGAACACACACGCTTCATTTATAGCACATCTTTTTTTCAACAATGACCGTTAAGTACACACCGACCCCTGCTCTACCAAACAGTTACCATGACGACCACAAAGTAAAGCACTCACCAACCCCCGCCCTACCAAACAGTTACCATGACGACCACAAAGTAAAGCACTCACCAAGCCCTGCTCTACCAAACAGTTACCATGACGACCACAAAGTAAAGCACTCACCAACCCCCGCCCTACCAAACAGTTACCATGACGACCACAAAGTAAAGCACTCACCAAGCCCTGCTCTACCAAACAGTTACCATGACGACCACAAAGTAAAGCACTCACCAACCCCTGCCCTACCAAACAGTTACCATGACAACAACAAAGTAAAGTACTCACCGACCCCTGCTCTACCAAACAGTTACCATGACGACCACAAAGTAAAGTACTCACCGAGCCCTGCTCCTGTCCCAGGGCGGCGTTCACGACACCTTTGAGGATGTACTCCTGGGGCGTGGTGGGCTCCAGGTCTTTGATCAGATTGTAGGCTTCGGGGATGTCATCTGTGCCAGATTGCGAAAGGTGAGGTGAGGTGAGGTGAGACGAGACGATGAGGTGAGGGGAGGTGAGACGAGACGATGAGGTGAGGGGAGGTGAGATGAGACAAGACAAAATGAGACGAGATAAGGTGAGGTGAGATGAGACCAGGTGGGGTGAGACGATACGATGAGGTGAGACGAAACGATGAGGTGAGGTGAAGTGAGGTGAGGTGAGATGAGGTGAGATGAGATGAGACAAAATGAGACAAGGTAAGGTCAGGTGAAAGGAGACGATTAGGTGAGATGAGACAGTGAGGTGAGGTGAGAACAGATGAGATGAGAG